TCATACCCTGCAGAAGTAAAATCCTGACACTTTCCTCGCTTGTAACACTCTGAGCCCTTCACACACCATACTCTGCTCCTGGAGATAAGCTGGAAGCAAGTGTCATCCTGCCTGGTTCCAGTCCCTGACATATCCAACTTTGGATATTTCTGGTCAGCCTGACTCCCTCCTAACACACCTCATTCCAATTCTTGCCCACCACACCTGATGATTTGTCATGGCCACTGGGAATATGCCATTCTGGTTGTCTACCACAAAAGGGCTGGTGTAAACCTAGCAGTCATGTTAGGTTAGTCTCAGGTGAGCGAGGCCCTCTGTCTTTCCCAAGGCTCTGTCCTCTGTTTCTGAGGGACTGTCACCTCACCGTCTTGCACCAACAGACAGGCTACGAGTGGGCCCTGGTGCCCAAGATGGCTGGTGCAGGATGGCACTGTTTATTTCCTCCTGGGGGCATCAGGCCCCTCTGTCCAGGGACCTCTAAGTCCAACACCAATACCTGGGTCCTTAGAGGCCCCCTGGGCCCTGCATCTCCAAGAATAGGGGCACAGCATTCTCCTGAATAGTGTACACTCTGCAGCCCCCACTGGGTGTGGAGCCTCCCAAGGTGGGGGAGCAGAGCAGTGAGAAGCCCCCATTATCTGCCCTCCTTTCCTCATGAGCCTGGCTTGGCAGGCCTGATGCACAAAAATGCAACAAGAGCCTCAGTAGACAGGACCCGAGGTCTTTGTTTTGTTTGTTTGAGATAGAGTCTCACTCTGTCATCCTGGGTATAGTGCCATAGCATCATAGCTCACAGCGACCTCAAACTCTAGGGCTCAAGTAATTCCCTTGCCTCAGCTTCCCAAGTAGCTGGGACTATAGGTACCTGCCACAACCCCCAGCTAGTTTTTCTATTTTTAGTAGAAACAGGGTCTTGATCTTGCTCAGGCTCAAACTCTTGAGCTCAAGTACTCCTGAGCTCACTCACCTTGGCCTCACAGAGTGAGGTATGAGCCACTGTGCTGGTTAGGACCTGAGATCTTTTTCAGCAAGGGTGGACAACTGCCTGGCCTGCAGGGCCACTGGGACCTGGGGGGCAGACCCAACCTGGACAAGGTCTGGGGCTTTAGGAGCTGAACTTACATTCCTCACCCAGAGAAACAAGCAACCTTGAGAGGCTCTTGGCATGAAGCTGCTCTCAGTGAACACAGCAAAACAAGACCTGTGCTTCAGAGGGTAAGTTGCAGGTCTGCTCTGTTGCTCTTTTCCCAGAAGTGCTCCTTATGCAGGAAGCTCTTACTGAGCACCTGTTAAGTGCCACACTCTTGCAGCACCTGGAGACTGTCAAGGACTCCTGGGCTTTGGCTGCATGTTAGGACCACTTGGAAGTTTTTAAACACCTGAGGTCTGGCTCACCCCAGCCCCGACACAGTGGAATCTTCAGGAAAGGGGTTAAGGGTGTCTCAGGCCTTGGGGATGCTAAGGGGCAACTGTGTGTGAAACATATTGGGCTGTGGGGGACAGACAGGATCATGGCAGGTCCCATGGTGATTCTCACCAGCAGCTGAGGCATTAGTTCTCTACTCATTCATCCACCAGTAGAGAACTCCAAGCTAGAGGGAGTCTGGGGAGGTCGGACAGGTTCTGCCTTAGTTCCACATCTGGGCATTCTTTTTTCCCTTCTGTATTTACAGTTTTACTTTTAATTGTATTATCTGCCTTACCAGAATTGAATATCACTGCAAAATTCATCATTTCTCTGGAATCACAAAGAAAGTCCTACCTTATATTAACTTAGGAGACTGTTTGGGGGCCATTTTCTGATTTGTGTGTCATGCTTCAGAACATTTCTAATGGAACCTTATTATTAGAAGGCAACATAGTTCTTCATCCATTCCTCCCTCAGAGCTGAGTCATTCCAGCAGTGTTAGTTCATCCTGCACCACTTGACCTGCCTACCCCTGGCCTACAGGGAATGCCTACCCCTCTGGGAAGTGAGGCTAGGACTCAAAAAATGCTCTGGCCTGGGCATGCCTTTGCTGTCCTCTGCCATCACCTGCCAGGAGTGGGAGCCCAAGCTTTGACAGCCCCTGGTGCCCCTGCTAAGGCACATTGTCTGTCCTTTGTTCTGCCCCGACCCTTCCTCAAACCTCAGGCTTTCTTGCATTACCCCAGGCCACTCTTACCACCTCCCTGGGCTCTGTTCTCCCAGCCTGTCCCCCTATCTCTTTTCTCTACTGGAGCATCCTCCTCATGGTACATGTGGCTCAGGGGGCTCTAAGGGAGGTGGGCTGGCTGAGCTGGACTTGAGCACTAGACATCTATGAGTGTGAGTGGGCAGCAGATCCCAGGTGCTGATGTGAAAACCTGGTCACCTCTTCCATCACCAGGCAGGCACGATCACCACATGCTGCCAGCATGGCCTGTTGGGAGCAAGAAGAAGCCAGACTGATGCACACCTGCTTCAGAACATGCTTAACTCTATCTTGTCCTGGTTCTTCCTTGGGTAGGATTGAGTACACCTGTCGTGAACAGGACCCACGTACTTGGTACCTTTCCTGGACTGACCAAGTCCAGATGCATTGGTAGCCTTTTAAGAAGGACAAGCCAAGATGACTAGCCTAGTTTGTAGGGTGGGATACTGAGGCACAGGAAGGGCTGGGACTTATCCAAAGTCACCTCTATGGCTAGGGACAAGGTTGGGGGTGTTTAGCCTCACAAAGAAGACAGAAAAGCTCCTTATCCACCCTCCACCTCTGTCTGTAAAACTCCCCACCCTGGAAGGTGCAGCTTAGATCTCTGTCACTCAGAGTCTCTTAGACTTACAGAGCTGGCATCTCCTTGTGCCACCTTCTCCTTGTGTAGGCTCTGGGTTCAAGCCAGACCAGTTGAGCCTCAGACTGCATGCCTGTGTCACAAAGTAGATGTGAGGTTTAGAGAACATAAGCTAACAGGCTGTCTGTGGGAAAAGTCCTGATTTGAGGTGTGTGCTAATTTTCATAGCGTAAATAATCTCAGCATTGCTGAATTCAGGCTATTGTGTGGTGTCGCCAAACAGAGCTGGGAAGAGATGTGCACCCTCAGCCCTGGTGAGTCAATTTCAATTGGCGCCAGTGCCCAGTGGGGCCCCAGGAAGTGCTGTTTCTCTGGGTAACAGTTGGTCTGGCACACTCTTTCTTCTAAATTGTGAGGGTTTGTTATCTTCTCTGCTGGCTTTTATGTCACATAAGTTACTTTGTGCCAGGGCCTTCAGGGCCAACAGCCTATAGGCATCTTCATCTCTGAAAGCTTGTTTATATTTGATGGATGCTGATCCAGGGAAATGGAGACTGAGAACCCTAGCATCTCCTACCTTGGTTTCCTCATCTCGAAGTGGGGCCAATGAGTGTGTATCATAAAATCATGGAAAATGGGGTGAGAAGTTAAGGTGTCAGTTCAAGGCATTGTGTGGAGCAGTATGGTCACTGACACAGGCCATGTCCCTGCAGTAGGGCCAGAGATGCCCTGGAGAAGGCTTGCCTCTGGGACTCCAAAGGAAGAAGGAGGAGAGAGATCATGCAGGATCCCCTGGTGGCATTTGACAGAGGTGTAGAAAGAAGAAAACTTTGGTCAAGGGCCTTCTGGAAGCTGCCCTGTGCCCTCATCAAAGGCATCCCAGAACAGCGTCTGTTGCAGGAGCTCTGGGATTTAAGGCAGATAACTCCTGCCTTTGTGGCCTCTGCTTGATTGTAAAATGGACACCATGAACACTGTTACTTCCTTGGAGGATGGTGAAGTCATCATGGATCTTGTTGGTAAAATGAGAGCAGGGATGGACATGCCAATCCGGGACCACGCTGAGCCCGGGAGTGGGCTCCTAAGGGTGGCAGCACACCTGGCGGTTCTCTTCCTAGCCTGCGGGTTCTGCCCTGGCACAGGTCTCTGAAGTCTGATGCGCCGAGCTATGGCATGGTGAAACATTGAGCCTGCTCCTTTCTCCTGGGGACAAATAGTGCCCTTCACAGCTGACAGCACTGCGGAACATCCCCAAAAGCTTCAGAGGCCAGGAGCGCAGAGGAAAGTGAAGAGCCATAGGTGGGAGCCACCGGGCTGATCCGCAGGTGGCCGCGCGCTCTCGCTGGAGCCAGGTGGGCGTGCCAGGCCCCGCCCCCACGCAGGCTCCGGGGCTGGGTTAACAGACGCCCCGCCTTCCCCGCTCCGAGTAGGAGCCGGTGCGGGAGCGGAGCCGCGCGGAGCCGGCAGGAGCACGCGGGAGCGCGGCCCCGCAGTGGCTGGGCCCGAGGGAGCAGCGCGCAGGAGCGGGAGCAGCACTGCGACCCCACCCCAGCGCGGACCCCCGCCCCGAACTCGGACCTAAGCGCTGAAGCGCAGTCTCATCAACCTCGTCTGCTCCGGCCCCGGGCCGCCGGCATGGACGGCGTCCGCTCGCCTTGTGAGTGCCAAGCCCCCCTACCTGCCTCCTTTGTGTGCGCGCTGCGCCGCTGCAGCCCCCTCCCCGCGCGCCCCTCCCGTGCCCCAGGCCCGCGTCCTTTGTGGAGCCTCCGCCTGGCGGGTGCCTTCTCCCCACCCCCTCCTATCCCCCGCTGTCGGCCCTTCTTCTCCCTTCTGCAGCTTCCCCTGGGACAGTCCAGCGAGTCCCCCACCCGGGCGAGGGCTGGGCAGGGCGCGAGTACCCCTCTGCCAGCCTCCGAGTCCCTTCTGCAGCCCTTCCTGGGCCTTCAGGGACACCCTAGGCTGGTCCTCTCTCCCAGGGTCCCAGGGAAAGCCCAAGGCAGGCCCTTTCCGCGGGGCTGGGGCTGAGCAGGACACGTCCTCCTCTTCCCCAGCCTGAGCCTCCAGGTCAGGTCTCCAGCCCCTATCCTTGAGATCTCAAAGACAGCTCAGTAGGGCTGGGCTTGGGGGTTCTGCGGCTGAGCCTAGGCAGGGCGCGGGCCCGGGGGCGGCGCTGTCTCATCCCGTGGCTCGGGCAGGTGCGGCGGAGCCGGCGCTCACGCGGGCCTGTGTGTCCTTGGCCCGCAGAGATGGACGGCGATGGCGGCCGCCGAGACGCCCCCGGCGCGCTGATGGAAACCGGGCGCGGCGCGGGGCCCGCGGGCATGGCGGAGCCGCGGGCGAAGGCGGCGCGGCCCGGGCCCCAGCGCTTCCTAAGGCGCAGTGTGGTGGAGTCGGACCAGGAGGAGCCGCCGGGCCTGGAGGCGGCCGAGACTCCGAGCCCTCAACCTCCGCAGCCCCTGCAGCGCCGGGTGCTTCTGCTCTGCAAGACGCGCCGCCTCATCGCGGAGCGCGCCCGCGGCCGCCCCGCTGCCACTGTGCCCGCTGCCCCTGCTGCGCCTCCTGGCGCCCCTGGCACCCCAGCAGACCCCGGCCCAGAGCCCACGGGCACAAAGGAACTCACCCCAGACCCCGCAGCAGCCGCCACCGCGCCCGCCCTCGACGGCGGCCCCCAGGAGGAGGCAACTGCAGTGAAGAAGGAGGACGCGGGGGTGACCGAGGCGAAGCCTGAGTCCGGCCGAACACGCCGGGACGAGCCTGAGGAGGAGGAGGACGACGAAGATGACCTTAAGGCCGTGGCCACCTCCTTGGACGGCCGCTTCCTCAAGTTCGACATTGAGCTGGGCCGCGGCTCCTTCAAGACAGTGTACAAGGGTCTGGACACCGAAACCTGGGTAGAAGTGGCCTGGTGTGAGCTGCAGGTGAGGGCGCGCGGGCCTGCAGGGGGATGTTGGTTGGCGAGGCTGTCCTTGGGCACGTCCTTGCTCTTGTCCCCCATGCTTTAGGTAGCCCTGGAGGCCGTGGGGCCGTGTGTGTTACCCTTTGTGAGGGGTGGCTGGCACTGCATGTGAGGCCCATTCTGTGGCTGTGTGCAGGTTGGGGTTTGTGAGCCAGACTCTGAGGCGAGGTTGAGCTTCCAGTGTGCGTACCTAAGTGTGTGCACAGTGGGAGTGGGCACTGGAGACTGGGCACTTGGAGGGCGTGTCTGTCAGGCTGCTTCTCCAGTCCTCATGACCCACTTTACTGACCCAGGCAATCTGGACCGTTGTCTTTGTGTGGGGGGCTTCAAGGTTGGTGTCCAGTGTCACAGGGTGGAGCTGGAGCTGCTGTTAAAGTAGCACCTTCCTGAGTCCTGTGAGGTATGAGTGCCCTGGTGTGCATGTTTGCGGGGGCTTGTTCTGATCCAGGGTTCTGTGACCCGGGGCCAATGTCTGGTGGGGACCTGGGGCCCACTGGGCAGGGCCTGGAAGCACCATCAATAGTCTCGGTATTCTGAGGGCTCCATTTGTTCGCCAAATGGATGTGTGAGAGGTCTTAAAACCCAGGCATGAAGAATGCAGGTGGAGTATTTTCTTTTCCTTGGATACAGAGGCTCTGGGCATGTATTTTTCATAACCCTGCCCTCACGTTGCCTGTGTGAGCACCATCAGCCCTGGACAGTTATATAAAAGGCAACCCTAGCTGTCCTGGGCCAGGCTTGGGAGCAGAGGCCTTGCCTATCACGGAGGGTGGGGGCAGTGTTTATAGGCCTCCCTCCTCATGGGGGCAGCTGTTGGGCATGGGCCAGCCTGGGAGAGTGCTGGCTGTCTGGAGGTGTAAGCCTACTCCACTGGCCTGTAAAGTTAGCTGGCCTTCCAGGCCTGACGCAGGGCTGGGGCGAGCCAGGGCATGCTGGGTTCCAGGGCTGCCGGCCACACTGCAGGATGCCTGCGATTTTGGCTGAGAAATGGGATTAAGTTGCTGTGTCCTTCAGCCCCTGCAGGGTGGCCTGCATGTGTGTGCAAGCTGGGCTAATTTGGTGGGTATTGACCTGTCCTCAGCCTTTCTCCCAAAACAAAGAGCTCCAGAGGCCTCGCCTCCCATTGCCTCTTGGTTCTACTGTGGAAACGCAACTTTTCGTGGCAGGGTCAGTGTTGTCCTGTGGGATCCTTTAGGAGGCACTGAATAGCTGCCCTTCTCATGGCCCCACAGGTTGTGGGTGGCCTTGAGGGTTTAGGATAGGCAGCGGGTATAGCAGGGGGCTGTGGACTGAAGGTCCTAGAGGGTGCTGGGGCATCCTTGGGGCACAAGAAGGCAGAGAAGAGAGAGGATCCTGAAAGGGGAGAAGATGATTCTTGATTATGGTGAATGCCATGAGCCTTTCCTCTCTACCTTCCTGCTCTTCCCAGCTGACCTGGGGCATGGCATGCTGAGCACTCTTGGGTGCTGCCACTGAGAAATGCCTCTACAGCAGCGGTTTTCAACCTGTGGGTTGCGACCCACAGGAACTGTATTAAAGGGTCGCGGCATTAGGAAGGTTGAGAACCACTGATCTACAGGGTGGAAGATGGAGCTAGGGGTGCTGCAGCAGGCTGGCTTTGAGTTAGACCTCGGCAGCTGGAACCTGCTGATCTGGCTGAGGTACTGCTGGTGCATGTGACTCTCAGAGCTTGTTAATTCCCATTCCCTTTAAGGAAAGGCAGGAGGTTCTGTCTCTGGGTCTGTCCGCCGCGGGCACAGGGTGGAGCCTGGACACCGTCCAGGGGTATTTTTCTACTTGATCTCAGATGGGAGTGGGCAGCCTAGAGGAGGCTTCTGGTCTATACAGTGTTCTGTGCTGGGATGTTGTTACTGGTACCCCGAGATGTTATGGAAACTGTCCCTGTACCTCCCCCAACAAGAAGTTCTGCCAACATTTGCCCCAGGCTGGTGTGCATCTTTGGCGTCAACTCCCTCTGCTTCTTCTGGTCTGAGGTTTTCTATGAGAGGTTCTGGACCAGTTTGGAAGAGCCTTCTTTACTGAGAATCTGCTGTGTGTCAAGCCTGTGCTGAGAGCCGCAATATCACAAACCTTGAGAACTGGGGGGATGTGGAACCCACTGGAGTTCCCCCAAGGTCACCAGCTTGGAGATGTCAGGGGCACTGCAGGATTCGGGGAGGAGTGCCCCAGCTTGATGTGGCAGGCAGGCAGGGGCTAACTTTGTGCAGGGTCGTGGGAGAGGCTGGCATTAGGGCTACCTTTACTGTGTTCCTGGCAATAGGCAGGGATTGGTGCGAGGTTGGAATGGGATAGGGTAGGATGTAGTGCTACGGGGAGATTAGAGCATAGGCTGTGGGAGGGAGGTCAGAGTCCTTGAGGGGAGTGACTCTCCTGGGTAGAACTCAGGGTCAGGCCTCACAGACCACCACTATGCAGAGGGAGTGCCTGCCGGCAGGCAACAGGTGTGTATTCCTTCTCCAGGTGTGTTCGTTTTGTCCCAGGGAGCGGGCTTTACTCCACAGTATGGAGGTGATCATCTTGTACCTTGATCCCCAGCATTCCCAGCATTGGGAATCTGGGGCTCCTGGGAGGGTAGAAGGGGAGTTGTGGGGGTGTTATCATTAGCCAGGGAGCATTGTGGAATTTCTCTTGGCCTCTGCCTGTCTCTTCCCCAGAAGCACCTCAGCAGGCAGCAGCTCCCTTCCATCTACCCAGGTGCTGGACTCTGTTCCTATTCCCCCTTCTTAGCAGGCCAGGGGCTTTTGGGGCATCTGCTGGCCTCCTTGGAGAAATAAGCATCATTTGCTTGCTTTTCCTGGGGTTTCCTGCCAAGTGGAAGAAGCGCTTCCATTATAGATCTAGTAGCCTGGCTTAGAGGCCATCTGATTGCCTTTGATAAATTAACGTTGAAAGACCTTCATAGAGAGAGTTTTATTTGTTTATCTCACATTGAAGGGCAGTGAGATGTTTCATCTTCGGAATTCTCCATATGTCCAAAACTGAAACTTGAACTGTTTTTGTGGGAGAAGCATAAAATTTTATCTTCCTGTCAATTTTCTTTTGAATTAACTTTTATTCTTGGCATTGGAACATGTTATGGTAACAAGGAAGGAGGTAAAACCCACCTAGAATCCTCTTGCTCTCATTCTCTCTCATACTTTCCATGTTCCTGTGCCTATCTTTGGCCAGGTCTGGTCTCCATAGACAGTATGGGGTACTCTGGGGTCCCCTGTTGGTCCTGGGAGCAGGTGCTACCTGCCATGTGAGCTGGGCTACTCTATGGGGACAGGCCTGGGTCCTGCCTGGGCATTGGCCTTACCTTCTGCAGGGCTTACCTCTGGGGGGTGATGACACATGTGTCCGCTGTGGTATGACCAAAGCATGGTAATGAGGAGGTATCTGGCATGGTACAAGGGTCATCCTTTGGGTTAGCAGAGCCTTATCCCCTCCTTGTGGTGTTGAGCTCTGACTTCTTGTAGGACTGACACTATTCCATGTACCTTAAGGCTCCTGCTCTCATTTGCTGCCACCTTTGAGCTGGCCATGGGTCCCCATGGGTCCCCAAATTGAGAAAATGCAGGCCAGCCTGGACTGCAGGCTGGAGTCAGGAGTCAAAGATGGTGTGTTTGTCTTGGTTCACCGGTTTCTGTTGTGTCTCTTTTGGTGACCTGAAGGAAGCCTTGGTTTCCACCCCCGTGTTGATATCAACCCCACCCTGTCAGCATTCCCCCTGCTTTTAGGGAACATGGGTCCCTCTGTACCACCATGACCCTGCAGAAGGCCACTATGAGCTGCTGCTTCAGGGCTAGAATCTGAGTTTCCCAGGAGGGTGCCTGGGGGTCTGTCTCTTTCTAGGAGGCATTCAGTCTTTGACCCTCGGCCTAGAGTACTTGCTGGCCCTGGGAGGAAGAGGACTGGGGACTCCTGCTAGGCCTAGTACCACCTGAACCCTGCCAGCCAGGGACATAGGTCCCTGGTCTGCCTGCTCATGAAGCAGGTGTTGCTGCTGCTCTGTACTGCCTGGAAGGGGTCAGGCTCAAGGAACGGTGTGTTCCTGACTCACCACCCCCATCCGGATGTTCCTGTGTCCTGTCCATCTGCCTGTGCCCAAGAGGGAGTGACACTCACAGAGGCTTGCCGAATGCAGCCTGTTACCAGTAGATAGGTCCCTTCACTGTCCTCCAAGGACAGCTTTAGCTGCTCTACAGCTTCTCCCATGGTTGTGGGCAGCCCACTTCTGCCAGCAGTACACTTGCCCATCTTACTGGTAAGCCAGGCACATGTCCCAGGAGGACTTAGAGCCTGAGCAGTTTGTATGATGGCCCCTTGCAGGAGTCCTGGCTACCAGCCTCATCTGCTTTCCTTGTGGCCCTGCTGACATGGAGAGAAGATGGGACAGGAGGGGCAAATTGACATCTGAGTATAGGAGAGAGGGTTGGTGCTTGCTTGCTGGGGCAGGATACTCAGAGAAGGTTCATCCCAATTTGGCTGGCGGTCACCCCTCTTTTTTCATTCTCCTAATGCGTAATTTTATTGGAAGAGCTATAATTTGAAATCAGAGGGATGCCAACGCTGAGTTTGTTTTCCTGGGCGAGATGTTTTATGTGCCATGCGACCACGGTTTTGGTTTGGTTGGCAAGAGAGGTTGGCACTAGCTGCCCGAAATGCCTGTGTAGACAACTTTCCCTCCCTCCTGCCACGGCAGAACAGTGGGCACCCGAGCTCTTACAGGCCCTTCACCTGCCTCCCAGGCAGGGCTAGTGAGATCTGTTTTGGCAACAGTGATGTGTGAGCAGCCTGAGCGGCAAGTCACCATCATGGTAGCTCATCGAGGCTCAGGCACCATAGCTTATTCTTGGTTGGAAACAGATGCTCCTGTGGCTGAGTGGTATCTTTGGGGGCACCTGGTTAAGCCTGATTCAGGGCTAGGTTGCTGTGCTGCCCTCTGAGACACAGAGTGAG